GAACATTGGAGTCCTCCGTCACTGAAGCAAGCAAGCCTCATGTTAGTTTCAAGCTGCCTGGCTGCCGCCGCCATCTTGGCTGGCAGTTAATTTGCATATTGCCCTGATTAGCCAATGGGAAGGGTAGCGGTTGTACGCCAATTACCATGTTTCTCTTTTATTAGATAGGATTCATAAATATCAATAAGTGAATGTAAAATTAAGTAAAGACCTTTAATAAGCCTAACACCCCGAACCAATGAGCATCATACTGTATTTCCTTCCAGACTTCCTTCTAGTATATAAATATGAATATGCATATATGAAAGTATGTATTCCATATGAATGGGTCCAGATTATACATACATGCTGTTGTATAATTTGTTTTTCTTCACTTCTTCCCATCATATCTATAAATGACTACTGCAACATTATTTTTTCAATATATTTTTTATTGATCTCAGAGAGGAAGGGAGAGGGAGAGAGAGATAGAAACATCAATGAGAGAGAATCATTGATTGGCTGTGTCCTGCATGCCCCACATGGGGGATCAAGCCCGCAACTGGCATGTGCCCTGACTGGGAATCAAACCATGACCTCCAGGTTAGGTTAATGCTCAACCACTGAGCCATGCCAGCCGGGCTACTGCAACATTCTTAGTGGCTGCACAGGGTCTTATGGAGTGGATTGTCACTTGTTTTCAACACAATCCTTCATGTAGCAATATTTAAGGTGTGTTCACTGTTTTGTTCTAGAACAGTGGTCGGCAAACTCATTAGTCAACAGAGCCAAATATCAACAGTACAACGATTGAAATTTATTTTCAGAGCCAAATTTTTTAAACTTAAACTATATAGGTAGGTACATTGTTATTAATTAGGGTACTCCTAAGGCTTAGGAAGAGCCACACTCAAGGGCCAAAGAGCCGCATGTGGCTCGTGAGCCGCAGTTTCCCGACCACGGTTCTAGAAATATCTCTGCAATATGTATTGTTTTACATGTCCTTTACAAGTGCTTTTTGGTGTTTTCTCCTTAGGATAAAATCCCAGAAGTGGAGTTACTGGGTCAAAGAACATCCACCTTTTAAGTCTGAGATACCAAATTCCACATTGGGTGGGACCTCTGTGGTTGATCAATTCTAAGCCAAAAGGGAACCTAGTGATCAACCAGGTTTACCCTCTCATTTCTTTTCTTTTTTAAAAACTTAACATCATCCCCATTTTATTTCTTTTAAATCTGTTTTTATTGGTTTTAGAGAGGGAGAGAGAAACATCAATGTGAGAAACATCTATGGGTTGCCTCCTGCACACCCTCAGTGGGCATGTGCCCTGACTGGAATCAAACCTGCCACCTTCCCCTGCACGGGGACTACACACAGCCAACTGAGTCACACCGGCCAGGGCTACCCTCTCGTTTGTTTTCAAATATTTCTATCTCCACAAATTTTATTTTCATGTTCCGGACAATAGATGTAGAACGTGTGACCCACATCTCTTTTAAACGACTGCCCAATACAATGGCATGGTGAATTGTTTAATTCCCGCATGTGTTGTTAGAGTTGAGACGGTTTCTCATTTACCCCCTCCTTTGATAGTGGAGAAAACTGAAGTTCAGAAAGTCTCAGGGACTTGCCAAAGGCCACCACCCACCTGAGAAGAGAAGCTGCCTGGTCTGTGGTGAGAGCTGTCTGCATGCAGAGTGCGAGCAGGTCTGGGCAGAGGCAGGACACCCAAGAGAGCATCTCCCAGCCATAGCGGAGGAGCCGGGTGCTCCCGCAAATGTCTGCAGGAAGCCTCGTTTTTATCCCGAAACCAAGAAGTGCCCTACACACCCAGGCAAAATCCCAACCTTGAGGGAGGTTAGGGGCTCCTGGCATATCGCAGATGCTCAATATTTACCGATTACTCAGAGCACTGTTCATGTATTGGAAAGCAATTTTTAGAAAGAAAGAAAAGACAGAAATGTTATATGTTGGCACACATCCACCGTACACTGGGCGTTCTGGATTGTAATGTGTGTGTGTGTCTGGGCGGGCAGCTTCTGTCGGTGCTGCTGTGGGTGGGTTCCGACGCAGGAGCCTGGAAAGCCGCAGGATGTGTGTTTGTTGAGCAAGGGGAGGAAATTCACTGATGTGGTTATTTAGTGGGATGGCCTCACTCCAGTTTTACTAGTTGTGCTTCTGCTGGAGAAAGTGTTTCGAATGGGAGGCCTGGGCAAAAGAAAGCTCCACCCCGTAGCCACCATTCAGAAACAGCTGTCCAGGCCCTGCCGTGACTTGTACTTGTGACCCCAGGGCACCCAGGTGCTGGTTCTTAGCCAAGGATCTGGACTGAGACATGGTTCTTGAAATCAACCTCCAACTGGTCTCTAGGCTTCCACGTGTTAGATTTTTTATGTTGAGATTTTTGCTTTTTCTCTCTCTTGAGAATCTCAAAGCATTTAAAAAAAAAAATTTTACATTTTTACTGGCATCTTCTGCATAAAATATTTTTAGGAAAGAGGCAGAAAATTAATTTTAAAAACAAGCAAATTCTAGTTCCTGAAAAAATAAAATTAACATATGATCCAGCATTCCACCTCTGGGTATAGATCCAAAAGAACTTGTTGGGGTCCAGCCCCAACAGGTCCAGGGGTTCCCAAAGGTGTGGACAGAGTCGACAAAGAAGGAATGACATGGAGGCAGCATTCAGTTGATCAGCAGCCTAGCCAGGTTCTCCAGCCAGGTTCTCTATTCTCCTGTTACATCTGTATTTATACCATTTGATTTTAATCCTATCCATTCTATTCCAAAGGTTAGGGCGTTTGTTATCTCCATTCCAAGGTCACTACTCTACTGTTCTGTTAAGCTACAAGGACGTAATTGAAGGATATTATCCTAAGTAAAGATTATGTAGTTTAAGCGTGATTGTTTGTAGTTAAGGTGATTAACTACCCGCCTGGCCCTTAGTTAAGGGGTTTTACTGATTTATTCCCTTCCTTAGTCCTGTTAATCCCTAACTCCAGGGAAAAATTCCCACCTGGGGAAACAACCTTTTTCAGAGAGGTGACCCTGGTTAAAACACATAGCGCTAAGAAGGGGAGCAAACATATTAAGAACAATATGCTATATACGCCAGGTCCCTTGAAACATATGCTGTACAGATGTTTCTTCCCTGCAGCGACTGTGTCAAGCAGCAAGGATGGACTGGCTTCTGGCAAGAACTTAAAGCAGAGGCTTGAAGAGGTATGTGTACGTCATAGTCACAGCAGCATTATTCACAAGCCAAGAAGTGGAAGCAGCCCAAGTGTGCATCAGCGATGGATGGACGGATGAAGGAAATGTGGCATATACTAGTCCGTATAATGGAATATTATTCTACCTTTAAAAAAAGAGAGGGAGGCCCTGTTACGTGCCACAACATGGATGAACCTTGAAGACATTATGCTAAGTGAAGCAAGCTGGTCCCAAAAAGGACAAATACTATGAGACTCCACTAATATGAAGTATCTAAAATAGTCATGTTCCTAGGGATGGAAGTAGAATGGTGGTTGCCAGAGCCTGAGTGGGAAGGAGGGAATGGGGAATTGTTTAAGGAGTATAAGGTTTCAGTTTTGCAAAATGAAAAAGGCCTCAATGTACTTAATGCCACAGAGCTATACACTTAGAAATGCTTAAGACAGTATATATATATATATATATTATTGATTTCAGAGAGGAAGGGAGAGGGAAAGAGAGAGAGAAACATCAATGATGAGAGAGAATCATCGATTGGTTGCCTCCTGCTTGCCCGTATTGGGGATCAAGCCTGAAACCCAGGCATGTGCCCCGACTGGGAATTCAACCATGACCTCCTGGTTCATAGGTTGACTTTCAACCACTGAGCCACACCACCTGGGCAAGATGGTAAGTTTTGTGTTCTGTGTATTTTACCACAATTAAACATAAAAAATAAAAAACCAAGCGCACATTCTAGTATATACACACATGGAATATTGTTCAGCCCACCCCAGGGAACGAAGTTCTGGCACATGCTACAGTGTGGACGAACCTGGAAATTATTGTGTTAAGAGAAAGGAGCCAGACACAAAGGCCACATATTCTGACTTCTATGAAATGTCCAGAGTCGGTAAATTCGTACACACAGAATGCAGACTGACAGTTTCCAGTAAAGCATTCATCTTATATAAAAACTGCTGTTTGAAATTTTAACCCTGCTATTCTGGCTTCTGTCTTAAATAATAAGGAAAATAAGACTACTCCCATTCCAGAAAGGCCGTAAACTACGCCCCAGACAGAGTTTTCAGTGCTGACACCAGGCCAGGCCTTGAGATATGGTCTCTTGGCCCCTTCCCAGCACGCAGGCCTTTCTCAGAAGGCCCAGAAGTCTCATTCCAAATCTGGGAGACAAAGGACTGGAAAAAGTATAAATAGAGGAGTTTCCGCCATGTTGGGGGGCCCAGAATTTGAAAGACACATTTTTCTCTGGGCCTGCACAGAATTTAATAATAAAATGTAACTCCCTTTCTCCAAGCGTGGCTTGGTTTTTCTCCAACACCAGAAGTGGAAGGGGGAGGGAACAGGAGGAGCGACTGCTTGGTGGGCCTGGGGCTTTATTCTGAGGTGATGAAAATGCCCAGGAAGTAGACGGAGGTGGTGGTTGCACACCATTGCGAATGCACTAAATGCTAGTGAGCTGTTCACTTTAAAACGGCTAATTCTGTGTTATGTGAATCTCACCTTAATTTTTTTAAAGCAAATTTTGGAAGTCACAAGCAAAAAAACGTATGTAGGCTCAGAGGTTATTTTGCAGAATTACTTTGCAAACAGCACATCCTTTTAGAGACTGGGAAACAGCAATGAACAGATTAATGGGTGTAAACACTGGTGTTGCTTTGGCCAGGATCCATTTCTCTTTCTCCAATTACGAGCACCCCCCCCACTTTTCCTTTGGGAAATCACCCTCTGTCACTTAGCTCATGTGGGTGGGAGGGGCGGTGGTCCAGGAATGGTCATGTGACCTGAGGCTGGCCAATCAAGGCATTGCATCCCTCTGGCCTAGCCATTGGTTCAGGCATGTACAGGTGAACCAAGCCAGGCCAATGAGGCTCAGTTCTGGGACCTGGGTTGGAACCACTGGGAAGACAAAGATCTCTCTTCCAGCCAGTGCTGTGGAGGAAAGAGGATGTCTGCCTGGAGCTGCTGGTGCCCATCTTGCCACCAGAACAGAAGAGGGTACCTGAGAATGGAGCCAACAATGAGGAAAGTAGGAGAGAGAGAGAGAGAGAGAGAGAGAGAGAGAGAGAGAGAGAGAGAGAGAGAGAGAGAGAGAGATATTATGGTATGATGACATTGACATTGACCTCTGCATGGAGCCAAGCATGGAGCAAGACTTACCCTCGGACTTTTCAGATACCTGAGCCAGCAAATTCCATTTGGGTCGGGTGCCTGTGTAAGTTGTTCTTCACCTGTGACAGAAAGAGTCCTTGGTCATTGCACATGACCTGCTTATTCAAAAGGAGCTGGAAATAGAAACCAGGCCTCCCGAATGCTGCTGAAACTCGGTGACGCTTCATCCATTCAGACTTTAGTGCTGTCAAACTGTGGCCATTAGACCAGAATCTTCACCGTCTTGATGAAAAATGGTTGCCTTGCGTCTTGGACAAGACAAGCTGCAGACACCTGCCATGCCCGCAACCCCGAGGAAGCCCTCCTGAGTCCCCCCGACCCACCTGACAGCCCCTCCACTGGCTTCTCATACGACCCGTGAATCGGCCTGGCTCAACGGGATCCCCTGCACCAGATTCGACCTCTTGAACCTACACTAGTACAGAAGGAGAAACAGGCAGGGAAAGTCAGTAGGAGCGAATGCAGAAGGAGAAGACGCACTGGGGGCCACGAAGAGCCTTGTGCAAGCCGGAAGTCAGGGGCGGCGGGGAGTTTGGGTAAAAAGAGACACAGTATGGAGGACACATGCCATCAGCAGTGGGAAAACACAGCAGATTCACAGAAAGAAACGGGCACCTGGAGAGACAGAGCCTCCAACCTCCTGCCCAGCAGCTCCAGGTGAGGGCCAGGCCACCAGCACCGGCTCTGCAAACCCCGCTCTTAGGCGACCTGAGCACAGCTCTGTCCCATGCCATGCAAAGAACCTGCCAACGTTTTTTTAAACGTTAATCTGGGCTCTTTCAGTTGCAAGAGACTAAAAGCCAATACAAACTGGGATCTTTAAAGAAGAAAACTATAGTTGGGGTCCTGGGAGGCCAGTGGGTGGCTGACTTCAGGGTCTAGACCCGGGGGCTTAAGTGGTGCCATGAGAATCTGTCCCCACCCTACTCCTCAGCTTTGTTTGCTCCTGGGCTGGTTGCAATCTCAGGCAGACTCGCCCTTTATGTCGACTGGTAGCCATTGTGCTCGGCAGCTTCTAAGAAGACCCAGGGATTCCCACCTCTTGGTATTCACAGCCTTGTGTAAGCCCCTCCCCTTGCCTACATGCTTCTAACCCCCCAAAATAAGCAACGTGGATGTCACTTCTGTAATTAGGTCTCATAAGGCTGTGCATTGTGTCTTGCTAGCGCAGGCTCTCTACTGCCTTCTCTGCTTTCCAGTTGCCAGGACGTAAGCCGCCCGTGGGTGGAGAGGCGCAGGTGGCAAGGAACTGAGGGAGCCTCTGGCCAACAGCCGGGGAGGATCCAAGGCCTTGGTCCCGTATCCCGCAAGGACCTGAAACCCACCCACAACCACCAAGTGAGGTCAGAAGCCATGGGCTCCCAGTAGAGCTTTCAGTACGTGAGGGGTCCAGCTCCTAGTTAAAAACCCGTGTGTGACTTCTCGGGCCCGCCCCACGCAGTTACAAAGGCTTTACCCCAAGACCTCGCAGGGGAAAGCTGCCTCCCCAAACCCGGCTCCGAAGGAAGCTGCCGTTAGGGACTTAGCCCCTCTGCCCAGCCATGCTCTCTCTTTACACTGGGTTCTAACACATTTAGTCATCTGGGTCTAAGAGAGGGCAACGGTAACGCATCAAATTAAAGCGTCAAACTGACAGGAACAAGAAGTGCGGTTGTATTAACCATTACTGGGCATCTGCTGCCTGCTTGGCGCTTTGTTGGCACTCAGTAACCCCAGAAACTGAGGCTCCAAGAGGGAAAAATAACTTTCCCAAGGGCCCAGAGCAGCCGTGGGCAAACTACGGCCGGCGGGCCATATTAGTTCGCACAAACACTCCATCCATGCTTTTGTTCCGGCCCTCCGGTCCAGTTTAAGAACCCATTGTGGCCCTCGAGTCAAAAAGTTTGCCCACCCCTGACCCAGAGCAAACCTGACCGATAGGAGGACCCGTGCTCGGTGCCTCACCCACAGGAGGGATTAGAAAAAGAAATAGCAGCCGGGGACCAGTTTGCGGGGGGAGCACACAGGCCCGCGAGTTCCCGTGGAGAGCACAGCACAGCAGCCGCTTTCACGACGTTCACACGCACCAAAGCGCACTCCGTGGCTCATCAGAACAGACGTCTGCATTGTGTCCACTGCGCTCTGTTCAGAGCCCTGGACCTCTGTGATACATTTCAGAAATCGCAGGCCTTGGAGATGTGGTGAGTCCTGGCTTCGTCCAAGATACGTGACCTTGAACAAGCCGCTGAACAGTCCGGGCCTCTTCTCCTCCTCTGGGCGGTGAGAGTTACTGTTTAAACCCATAATCTCTGAAGCTGTTTTGAGTCCCACGCAGCTTAGACCAACTCCTATCTCTTAGAAGACCTTGGCTGGGAACCCAGAGGCCATACAGGGTTGAGAGCGCCACCTAGTGATTCAAGTGTATAAGTAAGTTTCTATTGTTTTTTTTTACGTGTGTTTTTTTTTAAAATTCCTCCTGGACCCAACCAACCCCGTTTACAATTCCAGCTTAGACCTGCAGGATCCCCCCCCCCCCCCCCAACCCAACTCCTTAAAATTGCTTTTTAAAATGTTGTAAATTTGTGCATTTTCTTGGGAGGAGAGTACATAGTTTTCATTACAAGACTCTTAATCCTCTCCACCCCCACTGTAAGTTTTTATTGCTGTTAAGTAAATGTGAAGTCCAAAGCCGAAATGATTCATTTTATAAACACGGGCTTGAGCTCTGACGGTATTTGGGGGTTTATTTCACCTCTCTGAACCTCAGCTTCCTCATTTGTGAGACGTGGACAAGAATAGTATCTCCTCGAGGTTTGCTCAAAGGTGGAAGGAGACATCTCATGGAGAGCGTGCCTGGCAAGAGCAGAATGTATCTGTTGTGACGGAACTTTCTCAAAATCTTACAGGACGTCAGCCGTCAGCTGGGAAAGCCAGTGTGCGAGTAGTTACTGTGCCTCTGCTGGCTAAGCAAGAACACGTTCTCTTGGAGGGAATGCAAAACCCTTAGAGTTGGATTAAGTTTAGTGTGCTTGTCTTTGAAAACATGGGATGGAACTTTTGCAAGGTTGGGAGAAAGAACTGAAGCAAACAGTGCTCAGAGGCTGGGACCCTAAGAAGCTGGGAATCCCTGGCTATGCACCCAAAGGTGCTTCACTGAAATCTTTGAAAAAGGAAGAATAATGGCATCACACACTACTTGGCCAAATCCCTGCCAGGTGCCTGGGCATTCGGAGAGCCCCGTCTAAAGAGGGGCGGCAGGCTTCTGGAAAGAGCCACCCTGCTCACAGCAGAGCAGCCAGGGGAGAAAGGACACGCTATTTCCAGAAAGACACGTGGAGTGAGGGGAAGGCAGAGCGGAAACCAGGAAAGAGGTGGCCCTAGTCCTCTGAGTTCCTCAGTGTCTTAAATATTTATTGGCTGCCCATCAACTGATGAATGGATAAATAAAAGGTGGCGTTTCCATACAGTGGAATGCAATTGGGCCATAAAAAGGAATGAAGTACAGATACACGCTACAACGTGGGTGACCCTCAAAAACATTATGCTAAGTGAAAGCAGCCGGTCATGACATATATTGCTTGAATCCATTTATATGAAATTTCCAGAATAGGCAAATCCATAGAGAGAGAAAGTAGATTTGTGGTTGCTAGGGGTGGGAAGGGCGGGGGGCGCGGGACGGGGGAGATAGATAAAGAGTAAGGTATTTCTATTTTCTTTTTTAAATTTTTTTATTGATTAAGTTATTACATATGTGTCTTTATCCCCATGTTACCCCCTACCCCCCCACTCATGCCCTCACCCCCCCTGTTGTCTGTATCCATTGGTTAGGCCTATATGCTTGCATATAAGTCCTTTGGTTGATCTCTCCCCCTTACCTCCACCCTCCCCTATTTCTTTTTTGGGGGGTGACAAAAATCTAAAGTTGACTGTGATGACTGTACTAACCCCCACTGAATTGGACACTTTAAGTAGGTGGATTTCTGGTGTGTGAAATACACTTCAATAAAACTGTTAGAAGAAAACTGTCATTGAACTTCAAAAATCTGGACAATCATCATAGATGGGTCCTCTATCATCACGTAAACATTGAAAACAAACGCGTTAATGCTGTATGATGCCCCAACAGGTGCCTGGCTGTCCTGCGGAAGAGGCCTGGGGGCGTGGGGAGAGGCGGCGGAAGGCTTACTTTAAAATATATAAATTCACTGTACAATTGCTCAGATTTTCTTTATTTGATTCATTAACAAAGTATCTGTGTTCTCTGTCCCTGATGTGTCCTTTTTTCCCCTCATGGTTTTCCTACTTTCCCATTTTCTTCTGCATTAAAAAATTTAATTGTGGTAAAACACACATAACAAAATGCACTGTCTTAACCTTTTAAGCGTATAGTTCAGTGGCATTAAGTACATTCACATGGTTGTGCAACCATCACCACCAGAAGTCTTCTCATCTTGCAAAACTGAAACGACCTACCGACACGTTAAACAACAACTCCCGTTCCTCTCCCCCGAGTCCCTGACAACCCTCTGCTCTTTGCCTTCAGGAATTTGCACTAGAAACCTCAAGTAAGTGGAATCACACAGTATTTGTCCTGTGGTGACTGGCTTATTTCAATTTCAGTTAGCATAATGCCTGCAAAGCCATATATATATATATATATATATATATATATATATATATACACATATACACACACACACATATGTATGTATGTATATGTATATATTAGTATTTTATTACTTTTCCAGTTAAAAAGACAAATTACCTGTAAAAAAATCACAATATATACTTGTAATATTAAGTTAAGGAAAAAGAGCAGGAATCAAAGCTTTGTGTAAAATGTTGTGACAACTCTGAAAAAAAATATCACACACATTGGAACTCAGCAGAAAATATGAGAAGTTTCTAGTAATGACTGATTATTTCTAGGTGGGTTATGGTTACATTTTATTTTCTATTTTTTCTCATTATTCTAGAAGAGCACAGGACAAAGCCAATGCGATCTAAAAAATGGATACGTCACCCTCAGAAAACAATGTTTTATCTGAGCTTTCTCGGGGTACCCTGAGTGTACGACGTTCCTCTATCCCCTTAAATTAAATGCACTTACTGTTGTCAATTCCTGTATCCCAGCTGGAGTTAGGAAAATACACTTATCTTGGCCAACAAATGCATTCCATGGGTGAATGAGGAGAGTGATAAAAGATGGTTTCCTATCTGAGTTATCTGTTTGGCTCCCAGCAGGTGTCCCCGTGGGTGATCCTGCCCCAAGTGCCCCACTTTATTTTATTTTTTATTTTTTTAAAAAATATGTTTTACTGATTTTTTACAGAGAGGAAGGGGGAGGGATAGAGAGGTAGAAACATCGATGAGAGAAACATCGATCAGCTGCCTCCTGCACACCCCCTACTGGAGATGTGCCCACAACCAAGGTACATGGTACCTTGACCTTGACCGGAATCGAACCTGGGACCCTTCAGTCCGCAGGCCGACGCTCTACCCACTGAGCCAAACCAGTTAGGGCATAAGTGCCCCACTTTAGAAAGTGGGGCTGCTCCCTGGTACCGACTCGGGAGAGCTAATGGTGCCTCTACAGTGGGGCCTTGACTTACGAGATATGAGATGTCTCTCAGCCGATTTTTTGCTTTGAGTTTTGAGCTAAAATTCGGGTTACGAGCCAGCTTCAGATACCCCACCGCTAGTTGGCGCAGCGAACGTCACAGTGAACGCCACAACATCAGCCCAGCATCATGTGTCTCACTCGTTCACTTTTTGATTTGACATACGAGTAATTTGAGTTACAAGCTCCGTCACGGAGCGAATTAAACTCGTAAGTCAAGGCCCCACTGTAATTCAGCAACCTCAAGTAGAAGTATTTACACCATGAGAAACGGTGAGCACTGCAGATCACCCACCCCCGCCTGCAGGAGCCATGCTGGTGGTCAGACCTTCGCCATCACACACACCTCTGGGCTGCTTCATCTGTTAGGGGGGCGAGCTACCCGCCTCTCTTCAGCCCTTGGCTGCCCATTTCTTAGGGAACTAGATGATCCTTTTCCTGGTCCCTCTGCAAGCAGCACTTTGCCTTCTGGGGTGGATCTGCCTTCTCAGTCCTGTGGTTCTCTGCCAGTCGGAGACACCAACCTTCACCCCCCTGGTCTCCAGTCCAGAAAGGAGTCGAAAATAGTAGACATTTGACAACTGTCCATTTTCCATTTTTCCATCTCATCCTGTCAGCTTCTCCTTGGAACTTCGCCTGATTTCAGGAACTTTCTTGCTGTAGGATCTGTACCCCGATTCTTTCCTTCTGGGCAGGAGGCCAAGGGGAGGTGGGAGGTGTGGTTCCGAAGGTTTAGCAGGTTTTCTTCTACAGAGGACCAGCCAGGCCTGCTCCTGTTCCTTGAGGTGCCAGCCTGTGGGTCCCAGACCCATCCAAGGGGGGCACACATAGGATTTTGTCATTTGCCTCTTAGTCCTTCTTGCAGTGAGGGGTCCAGAGCTGGACCTGAGGGGCCAGGCTCTACCCTCAGCTGTTCCTGGCTGGCTGCCCTTTCTGAAGCCCCCCAGGAGTATAGCGCTAGGAGAAGCAGGTTGTTGTTAAGAAACCTTTCAGCACCACCTCTAGGGAGGAGACATGACAGAGGAGTAGGGGGGCAGAAATAATGGGTTGCTTGCTGGCTTCAAAGACCAGGGCGGCTGCAGGAGCGCTGGCTGTGGCGTCAGGCCGAAGCCCCGTTCTGTTCCTCCCTCCAAGACTGAACAAGACAGCACTGCCCCAGACCTGGGTTCAAGTCTGAGCTCTCCCACCTACTTGCTACGCAGCGTGGCCTCTCTGAGCCGTCTGTAGGTCGGCACTGGCAATGCCTACCACTCCGGGTTGTGCTGAGGATTCAATGGGATGTGAAGCACTTGCCAGGGTGTTTCCTGACAGCTCCTGTCTCGGGGGCAGAGAGGGCAGATGTGTCCGGGACCTGCTCTGTCCCAGGCCGACTGGTCTCAGGCGCCCTTCAAGCCCTACTCAGAGGAGTGCCCGTGGCTGCCGCCCTGAGGACACCAGAGCATCCAGACATGGCAGCCTTTGCATAAGTGACAGGATTGGACTTGGACTTGAACAGACATGGGTTCCAGGCCTGGCTTTACCACCAGCTGGCTTTGTGATCTAGAACTAAACCTTCCCCAGAACTGTAGGTTTCGCACTTATAAAATGAGGTTGGCCCGGCCGGTGTGGCTCAGAGGTTGAGTGTTGACCTCTCAAGAGGTCACGGTTGGATCCCCAGTCTACACATGCCCAGTTACAGATTATGCCCTCCCTCACCCCCTCCCCCCACCTCCCAATGAGGCAGCCATGGATGATTCTCTCTCATCACTGATGTTTCTCTCTCTCTCTCCCTCTCTGAAATCCATAAAATATATTTAAAAAATAATAAGCAAACTAACAAAATGAGGTTCAATGATTCCTTAGGCCCAAGAGTTGCAGGGAGGCCCAGGGAGAGTGAGGTGCTACGGTGGCTTTGGGAAAGGCCCCCGCCATGCAGATGTGAGCTGCTACCCCCTGCACTGTAGGCCCTGGAGGAGGGAGGTCTTCCTGGAGCTAGAGAGCCATGCATGTGACAGAGCGACCCGTCAGGAGGGCCTGTGGCTGCAGTTCCCCGTGCAAGCACACCGGGGCCATAAAATTCCCACCCTCCCCGGAACACTTGCCAGTTATTGATTTTACTGGTATCTGTCAGCTTCAGTGAGGACGGAGGTGTCAGGAGAGCTTCAGGAACTGCAATATCAAAACCAATGAGCTTCCATGTGTTTATTTAACAGAATACAGGTTGGGTGACACCAGGCCCTGGGGACACAGGGAGGGGTCTGTCTAAGATGGACTTTGCTTTCCTTCACCAGGTTCAAGAGGAAAACCAACGCTGAAGGGGCTGGGGAAGGCGGAGACGGGCCAGGAGCGGGCTGAGGAGTTAGAATCATGCAGCAGACGGGGAGAAGGAAAAAGACTGTGCAACTTTATGGCTCAGTTCATCGGGCAAAACACACCCTTTTACTGGTTTCCAGAGGATTTCATCACGGGAGAAGTATTTCGGTCAGGGGCCTTGGAGCAACAGAACGAGTTTTTTTTTGTGTGTGTGTGTGTGTGTTTATAGTAGTTTTTGTTTTTTTCTCAACTTTTCATGAGGGGGACATTTCCCAAAGTAGAAAACGTGAACACCAACACCCCTATCTCCACCGCCTAGCCCTAGCGGATACAATGACGGTTGTACTGTATTAACTGCATTTTTCTAAAGAGGAAGTTTCTGGTAGGGCTGTTCCAAGTGTCCCCTCTTCCTGAGGATGTCGCACCAGGGTCCCCAAAGACGGAGGGACGGACGCGGGCGGGGTGGCGGGGAAGAGAGGAGTGCGGTTTCCGGGAACCCGCCGGGACGGGGGTGGAGACGCTGAAAAGGGAAAACAAACAAACAAAAAGCGCCTGAGGAAGGCGTCCCGCCGGCTCCGGGGCCCGCAGTCCGACCGGGTGGTCTGGGCCAGGTCCCAGGACGGGAGTCCGAGGCTGCCTCTGGCCGGCGGGCCACGGGGTCGCCCTCCGCCCGCTCTACACTCGCCTTCGCGCAGCCCCGGGCAGGACAGGCAGCGATGGCGGCCCCGGCGCCCGCCGGGAGCAGCGGGAACCGGGGAGTCCCGGGAGCCGCTCGGCGGGGACGCCCCGGGGACCGGCGCCCTGCAGCCTGGCCGCCCGCCCCTCGCGCTGGCGACGCGCCTCCGGGGGTGCGGGCGGAGCGCCCGCCGGGGAGCCGCTGGCCGCGGACCTGGGGTGCCGTCCGGGGCAGCTGCAGGGCTCGGCCCGGCCCAGCGGTCCCCGCGACGCCGGCGGCCGCCCAGGGCGGCGTGGGCTCGGGGAGGGCCCTGCCTCCGCGCTCCGCCCCCGGCCGGCCGGGCAGAGTCGGCTCCGCGAGCCCGGGCGCGCGCCCTTTGCATAGAGCCCTCCTCCCCGGTCAAGGTAGAGGAAGTCGGGCTCCCGCCTGGATGGGCGGTGGGGGGGAGCCCCGCTCCTGTTGTTTTCCGCGAGCGGAGTGGGTGGCGGGGACAAGGGGCGGGGTGCGCCCTCCCACCCCGGGCCGGGCGCTCGGGAGAGAGAATCGCACCGGGAGCCCCGCGCAGCTCGCCGCCCGTCAGACTCACCCGACCCCCAGCATCCCTCCCGGGGCCGCGGAAAGCGGATCCACTCCGTCGGGCCGGGGACCGGGAGGAGCCCTTGGTACCCCGGGGACCCGAGCCCTGCGGGGCGCACACCCCGCCCAGCCAGCCCCTGCGTTTCCTGAGGGGCCCTGCCCGCATCTGCGGCGAGATGGCCGCACGGGCACCCGAGCCCCAGGTCCTCCTCTGCCTCGGGGCGCTGCTGGCCCGCTGGGTCGCCGCAGGTAAGGGCCGCGATCCGGAGGGAAAAGTTGAGGTTCGCCAGGCAGCAGTGGGAGGAGGGCCAGCCCGAGACCGAAGTCCCCCGACTCCCGGGATCCGGCGGTGGCTGCAGCCGCTCCCGCCCGGGCGGGTCTGGAGTTTCCTGCTCGCAGCTCGGTTCCCTGCAGAAAGGAATTTTCCCGGCGCCCCGTGCAGGGCGAGCTCTCTCCGCTCCCCGGAGCGGGCAGCGGGCAGCGGGAGCGGCCAGGCGGCCGAGGCCTGAGAGGAGGGGACGGGAACTTGGGAAACGGAACACGGGCATCTGAAGCTGGGAAAACGAAGACGCACGTGCAGGGAGAAAGTGTTGTTGTTTTCAGCGTCGGGTGTAAACTCGCATTCTGGTTTTACCTGCTGGGCAGGTGCTCGAAGTGGAGGTTTTCTTCTCCTCTGGTCCCTCTCTCTGCCTGAGGTTGAACCTGCGTACACCTGTGCCCGGTGGTTTTCCCTGCACACCTGCAGGCAGGCTCCTCTGGACTCGCGCGTTGAAAGCCCTGCTTCCTTCCTTCACTTAGTTTTTTGCTGTTGTTGTTTTGAAATAATTTCAGGCTTACAAACAACTTCCTCTACACTTGGCATGACCTCTTACACTTGACATGATTGAGAAAAAGATCTTAAATGCTTTCTCTCTGCTCTACCTTGTAGCAACAAAGAGCAAGGGGTTGCCTGCAAAAATACGCAGAATATAAAAAGATGGAAAATATATTTTAATATTTAATTCACCAGCGAATGCATGTCTGTGGTGTGCAGGGCAGTGTGTGAGAGGTCGTGGGTGGTGATGGAGTTTGCCGGAATCCTTGTGGGGTGCTGTTTTCCGTGCTGCCCAGCCCAGCACACCCAGCTCATCTCTTGTTGGTCCCTGTAGGCAAGTGATGGCGAACCTATGACACACGAACTCATTTTTTTGGTTGATTTTTCTTTGTTAAATGGCATTTAAATATATAAAATAAATATAAAAAATATACGTCTTTGTTTTATTATGGTTGCAAATATAAAAAAAATTTCTATATGTGACACGGCACCAGAGTTAAGTTTTTTCAAAATGCTGACACGCCGAGCTCAAAAGGTTCGCCATCACTGAGCTTCCTAGCAGCAAGTGCCAAAAGTTCCTGTTAGGCTCGCACACGTTTTTTTTGTTTTGTTTTTAGCAATTATTTAGAAACAGTCACGTCTCCCATAACCTCGGTTCCAGTTTATCTGGAAAATATCCTGAAGATCTGGCTGCGCACAGCCTGCTTTCCTGCTGGAACTGAGCCCTGGTCCCCCCTTTCCCTGGGCCTGTGACCCCAGGTTTGTTTCACCTTCCCTAGGTAGCACTCACCCCCGCCCCCTTTTGACTTAGTGGCCACCCTGCTGTCTCTCCCCAGCTGTTTGCAGCTTTTACTTCAGGTGAACTCCAGGGCCTGGGGACATCATAAATCATCCTGGAAGGAGCCAGCTTTCAGGTGGGCTGCGGCTCACCTCGCAGGGCTCACCTCGCAGGACCGCTTCCTCCGTGGTCATGCCCGGTTATTGATGCCCCGGCCAAGTTCACCTCTGTGTATGGGGTTGAGGGCTTCCCCAGTTGTTATATATTTTTTTGTTTGTTTTCCAAATTGGGAGTTTTCTTGGAGGGAAAAAAAATTGTCTTTTTTTTTTTTTTGTCCCATAACTCCAGACCGCGCTCATGCCTCCGCTGTTGCCGCAGATTGTAAATCCTGGGTCATTCTTGGGGAGAAGTTGCTAGAAAGAAAAAGTGTGGGTACAATCCCATCTATAAATGATATATGAGGGCAGCGCTGGGAAACGGCCGTGTCTGTAGCTTTCCCGCCTGTTCCACTGGGAGACATCGGGCCCTCAGGACACCAGGTGGATGACTTCTAACAACGCAAACTTACCGCGTCATATCGTCTCGCCCTGTCTGGGGGGGAGACCAGAGTAAATCCCTGTGGCCTGGAGTAGGAACACCTGAGTGTTCCCAGCTCTCCCGGTGACTCACAGGGACCATAAGTAAATGACTTAACGCTTTCTGAACCTCTGTTTTCTCAACGTAAAATGAAGGGTTATAGCACAAGCGGTCATGGAACTAGGGGACCCCCGGACTATTGTTTCCGTGTCTGTTTCACAGACATCACGAACCCATGACTGTTCTCTCTGCACTGAGCCAGGACTCAGCCTGCCTCAGCTGTAACCCAGCCCACAGGGCTGCCACATCTAAAAGGTCCCCAAGGTCAGCGTCAGCTTCATCAGTTTAAAAGAACGGAGTGAGCATAGCCGGGAGGAGAGGTGAAAGGGCCTTGAGATGGTTTCTTCTGTGTCACCCTGTTCCTTGGAGGAGAAGGCCATTGTCAGCTCAGGTTCCGAGACTAACGTTTCACCAGGGCTTTTCCAAGCTCCTTTATTCCTTTGCCAAGGAGCCAGGAAAGGGGCAGGTCTGTAGGTCTCATGAGTGCACGTTGCATCTGTAATCTACAGCTCGTCTCTCCTCAGTGGGAATTGTCACTGAGAACTTGGGTTCCCAGGCCTAATGTTTAAAAATAATTCTCACTTGCTTTGTAAAGTGGTTTTTTTTGTTGTTGTTGTTGTTTTTTTTCCAGATGCACTCCTTGCCGTTTTGGAATCTAGCATTGGATGGCATTCTCTGCCTTCCAGCAAGTGGCTTAGATTTTGTTTTTTTTCATCTTGTCCTGGGTTTTGGGCATGGTGTGGCCAAAATGGGGAGAGAATCAGAATATCCTGTGGTTCTGGGCTGGCTTCAGATCGCTCAAATGGAGCCCCCGTGTAACCAGACAGAAGATTGGGGTACAGATAACTGTTACTCTTTATTTCATAAAGGGGAAGGATTCCCAGAGGCAGCTGGCAGGTGTTTGTTTGTTTTTTCTTAATAATAATTCTATTGAGATATAATTTGCATACCATAAAATTCACCCTTTTAAAGTGCACAATTTATAGTTTTTAGTATAGTCACAAGACTGTGAAACCATCAGTACTAATTAATTCTAGGACATTTTCATCACCCCAAAAATAAGCCCTAGCCCTAGCCCTAGCCAGTTTGGCTCTGTGGACAGAGCGTCGGCCTGTGGACTGAAGGGTCCTGGGTTCGATTCCAGCTAGGGCACATGCCAGGGTTGCGGGCTCAATCCTCAGTAGGGGGCTGTAAGAGGCAGCCATTTGATGGTTCTCTCTCATCATTGATGTTTCTGTCTCTCTCTCCCTCTCCCTTCCTCTCTGAAATCAATAAAAAAAAATATTTAAAAGTCATAAAAAAAAAAGCCCTATACTCATTAGCAGTCATTCCCGACCCTCCCACTACTCCATTTCCTCCAGACCTAGACATCTGCTAATTATTTTCTATCTCAATGGAGTTGCCTGTATTGGACTTTTCAGATATATGGAACCACACAAGAATGTGGAGATATATATATATATGTTTTTATTGCTTTCAGAGAGGGAGAGAGAGAGAGAAACATCAATGATGAGAGAGAATCATTGATTGGTTGCCTCCTGCACACCCCACACTGAGGATCCAGCCCGGAACCCAGACATGTGCCCTTGACCGGAATTGAACCCAGGACCCTTCAGTCTGCAGGCCGACGCTCCATCTACTGAGCCAAACCAGCTAGGGCAGTATGTGGCCTTTTATGACTGCCTCCTGTCATTTAAAATAATGCTTTCACGATTCATCCATGACGTGGCATGTACTTCATTCCTTTTTAAGGACAAATGATATTCCCATTGTGTGGATATACCACATGGTATTTATTCATTCACCCGTTGATGAGTATTTGGTTTTACCTTTTGGCTATTATGAATAATGCTGCTGTGAGCATGCACATACAAGTTTTTGTGTAGGCATATGTTTTCTTTTCTGTTAGGTATACACCTAGCAGTGGAATCGCCGAGTCACACGGTAACTTTAATCATGTGTGAAAATGCCAAACCGTCTTCCTCGTAGCTGCAGTATGTAAAAATCCTACCAGCAGTGTATGAGTTCCAGTTTGTCCACATCTTTGCCAACACTTATTATTGTCTTTGATTTTAGCCATGTTAGTGGATGTGAAGTGGCAGGTACGTTATTGTGCTTTTGTTTGTGATTCATGTCAAGTACTGGCCAACCGTCCCAACAGGGTGGGGGCTCTGTGTGTTACTGCATCTTAAAACCATACAGCTGAGTTTTTTTAATTCCTAATGTGGAGGGACTGCAAAAGGGGAGGTCGTTCAGACACCAAGAGAGGTAGTAATGGCCTGACCTTTCCTCGTTCAGGATTGGAGACTGTCGTCGTCGGAGAGGTTCATGCGAACATGACTCTGCGCTGTGGCAACATCTCGGAAGCGAGGGGCCTCGTGACCTGGTACCGGAATGACTCGGAGCCCGTCTTCCTCCTGTCCTCCAACTCCAGCCGCCCGCCGGCCAAGCCACGCTTCTCTCTGGTGAACGCCAGCTCCCTGCACATCGAGGCACTGAGCCTGCAGGATGAGGGCAACTACACCTGCTGGGAGGCCCTGAATGAGACTCGGTGGTTCCAAGTGTGGCTGCAGGTGGCCAGTAAGTGGAGTGGGAGGGCCCTGGGACCGGCTGGTGAGGTGCCCGGATCAGTAGACAGGAGGGGCGCTTTGGAGTCAGTGGCCTGGGTTTCATTCTGGGCTCTGCCACCTGCAAGCTGAGTGACCTCTTGCACCTGTATTTTCTCCTCTGTAAAATGGGGATAAAAAGAATTCTTGCCTCATGGAATTGCGTGATGAATAGATACCAGTCGACCTATATAAAGTGCTATAAATGTATCCTGGCATAATAGCTAGCCATTCCTTTGAGCTTGTTGTTAATATCATTTTATTATACAACGAAGTCAGAGTACAACATCATCGAGTTAGACTACCTGAGTTCCAGTCCGATGGCTGTCATTCATCATTTTTAATAAGTAGCTTAATATCCCCGAGCTTCGGTTTTTCTTATGTGTTAGGTGGGATAATACACCGCATACCTTACCAGGTACGTGCTCTGAGGTTATGGTGCTTAGCACAGGGCTTAGCGTGAGCTACTGTTACTACTGTGCTTTCCAGAAATGGTGTCCATATACATGCATGCATGTAGACCATGTTGTTGGTAAAGTACAGCCTGTGGGCCTTATCCCGTCTGCTGCCTATTTTTGCGTGGCCTGCAAACTTCCCATACTATTGTACATTTTTATACAGTTGAAAAAAAAAATCAAAAGAATAATAATATCTGTGACAGAGGAAAGTTATATGCAATTCAAATCTCAGGGCCCATAAATGAGGTTTTACTGGATCACAGCCACACTTGTGCATTTACATGTTATCTCTCATTGCCTTTGGTGCTGCAACAGCAGCGTTGAGTGGCTGTGACACAGGCAGTATGGCCTGCAAGGCCGCCAATATTTATTCTCTGTCCCTTTACAGAAGAAGTTTGCTGTGTAGTTTAGTAGAAATACCCATATGATCACTTTGCTGCTCCCTACGTTTCCTCATCTGTAAAATGTGGCATTTACTCATTCCTTTATTCAACATATATTTGTTGAGAGCCTGATGCCAGGCACTGTTGTAGGCACTGGGCCAGGGGACAAGGTCCCCACCCGCCTGGAGCTGATATTCTAGTTGGGGGCAGGTGGGCAAGGTTTAAATCTAGGTCCTGCTGGCTGTTGTCTTTGTTACGTTGGGGAAGTCACTTGAACTCTCCCAACCTTCACTTTATCACCCGTGGAACCTAAGCACAGATTCTCTGCACCTTTTCATGAGATAAACCTGCACAGAGCTAGACACGCAGGATGCATTGGTCCACGTTGCTTTGATCAACTGGTTAGGCAGGTGATGGGGCTCCTGTGGGAAAAAGTGCATCTCAAGTTCCCAGCCATCAGCTCCGTGCTGTGGGTCGGGGACTCTGTGTGCCCAGATCTCATTTGTCCCATCTTTCCCCTGACATGGTTGATAGCCGAATCTCTTAAGGAGAAAAGTTTGGAAACATTGTAACATGGCCTCGCATGCTCTGGAGAAAATGTTCGAGATGTGACAAGTTGTTATCTGTAAGTGACTTGGAGTGTGTGACTGCAGAAGCACAAAGCCGGCTGTGTGAGGGCGGTTGCTTCTCCCTCCTTCCCCCTTGGATCCTTGCGTACTGACCAGTGGGCGTTTGGTGAGTCTGCCTCCTAGGAATCGGGTTTCTGTACGCCTGGGCTGATGCAACCTGTCTGGAATGGGCACCACGATGTGATTCTCGTTATTCGGCTCAGGACAAAAAGTCCCTGCACTAATACTGGTTAACTTAATGGTGCCGTTAGGATTGGGACTGCCTCCCCCCGAGAGTACAGAAATCCCATGGTCCAGAGCAGTGCAGGGCCGCGATGGCGGCTTATTTCACTGACTTATCCATCCTCTTCTGCCTCCAAATTGGGGTGGGTGCAGGGTTAGAACAGCTGTGGATTTACCTGCAGGAAGGCTGGAGGAGTGGGGACGGTGGCACAGACCTCAACACGTTCCAGTAGACTTTGTGCTTCTCTCAAGATACCATCTCTCAGGCCTTGGGGAGCCGGGTGATCCCACTAGAGATTAGCCTGTGAAAGGCCGCAGTCATGGTGCACAGAGCCAGACTCCGTGTCTGTTTTTCTCAGGCCAAGCCAGTGTAGAAGGAGCACCGGATCCGGTCGCTCAGGAGCCCCGTTGGATTTAGTTGGGGTTTGGAGGATGGAGGTGCTTCTGTTCTCCCCAGTGATGTGGCTGTCACTCCAGACTTGCAGGAGACAGAGTCTCAGGAAAGTCCCGTGCTTCCCTCACTAGTTGGGCCCATCCCATCTGCGCTCATTCTCTGTTGGCGGGGGTGACCCTGGGCCCACAACCGAAGGCCCCAGGGGAAGGACGGCTGGGCACGCTGAAGACAGATCGTTGACCCCCATCGGAAGACAGACGATCCTTGCCCAGAGATTGATTCATTTGAGTCTTGCCAAGCTCAGCAGAAGCAGAGATGGGTGCTTTTAATAGGCTGAAGACCGCTGGGTTCCCACTCTTTGGACAGACTCGGCAGTCACTAGGGAGATCGGAGGCAATGACGTGGTTGTGTTTGCGTCTATGTTCAGCCTCTAGAAGTGATAGGAAAACAGTCCCTGTAAGTTTCCCCAGGATCTTATCCCGCTGTAGCACTATAAATGTGCCCACTGGCTAGCAGGGACTGCCCAGGGGGATCTTAGATCGTTTCCAAATAAAAATGCTGGTAACAGAGTAAATGTCTGAAGACCGCTTTTCCTATTGGCGAGGAACCCACACGCAGAGATGGGAATCTCCCTGTGTGTGGTGCCTGAGATGCAGATTAACCATTTGAGACCCTTGACTGGCCAACCTGTAGTTATGGAGGAAGGAAAGAAGTGAGTTCTATGTCAAGAATGATAGCAGAGAAGAGGAAGGTAACAGCGGTGGTAGATTGTTCTAGAACAGGGGGCAAGCTTTTTCTGTAGAGATTCAGATGGTAAATATTTCGGACGTTATGGGCCAATGGGTAAAATTGAGGATATTATATACGTAAATACTTACATAAAAAGAAAGAAGACCAACTTTTACATACGATTATTGACAAAATTCAAAATGTAGTGATAATTGAGTACTTTTTTTGGTAGTACAGGCCTATCAATGAGAAGAACAGAATTCTTTCTGGAGGATATAACATTTCACTGTTCTCCCTCATCAAATCAATGGCGGATATCCATCTGTAAAAACCATTCTTAGCTTGTGGGCCAGAAAAAAACAGATAGTGGGCCATCTTCCGCCAATGCTTGGTCTAGAATCAATCTGCAGGTGTGCTACTGCCGATACCATCAGATAAACAGTTATAGACTACTGACCTCAGGTCAAACACCAGGTTACGGTGTATCTCATTGGATCCTTCAAAAACCCAGTGATAGAAGTTCTTCCTGTGATTTTCATTTCATGAGGACAAGAAAGTGAGAATGAGAAGGGCGGCACTTTCCTAAGGTGGTCCATTTATAAGCTGCTGTAGGATTCACATCCAGGTCTGTCTGAGTTCGAGTTCAAGCTCATAACTACTAGACTAAGGCATCCATCCCACAAAGAGTCAAGAACTGAAACTGACATTGACCAAGGCGTTGATAAGATGCCCGACCAACTGATCCACACTTGCCAGGGCCTTTCATTTAACTTTTTGTTTGAACTCTTGCACTTGCTTCCTTCTCATCTACTCCCTGTACCCAACTCCATTTCTTGCTGAGAATTGTGCGGGTCAAAAGCTCCTCCCAGCCAGTTTCTGGGAGTCCACATTGTCCATGTCAGGCTACAGTGGCCCATGAGACCACAATTTGAAAGACCTGGCTGGCCAATCTAACTCACTACCTTTACTGGCCCACTCTTGGCTACCAGGACCTCGGAGGCACTCTGTGCTTAATTGGGTGTCTGCCAACTGTGGGCACTCCCTTGGACCTGCTGGTCCACATACCTAACCAACTAGCCAGCAGCAGTGAATGGGACAGTTGAGCACCTCCCAAACCACAATATAATCCCCCCAGACCCTCTGTGGGAGGTGACATGGTTCTAACAGATCGCTGAAACGCTTAGGAACCAGCCCCAACTTGACAAGCATATGGTCAAGGGCATTGTCTTCAGAAATCCACAATTTCTAGAGTTTATACCACGGCTTCAGATATAAATGCAATAGATGCTGTACTGTGAGGGGCTCTGGAAAAGCCTTTTCCTCCCCCCAATAATTTTCCCCACTGGCCTATTTCTGCTCAAAATTTTCTGTAGTCATAGTTTTATTCCTTTGGCCAAGCATTGCCCTTCCTGGATTCTTCTTCTGGGAGAGGTAACTCCAAAATGACTTCAGTGTAAATAGGTGTTAGATCTATTCTTTTCATCAAAGGTGATGTGGCATCTTAGGGGCGCTGGGTACCAACAGTGGGAGGGAATTTCTGACAAGAAAGTTCAGAGATGTGAGGGGAATGAAGATAAGACCTAGCATTCATCAAGTGCTTCCCACAATCAGGCATTGTTCTGAGTGCTGTACTGTACTAACTCAGGTAATCATCACCACCACCCCACGAGTGGGTTCTGGTATCACCCCCATTTCACAGACGAGGCGGCGGAGGCTGAGAGAGGTTGCGTGGTTTGCCCTGGCCTTTGGCCTTTGGGTGTGGAGTTGTGCTGGGGGCTCTGTGAGAGTCCTCTCTAGGAGAGCTCACAGGACTCGGCGCGTACCATGGTCATGGCAAAGGTACACAAAGCAAGACCGGCAAAGGGGAGAGGTACCTGGGTGCCTTTTATTGGGGGTAAGTCCAGGGAAGACCAGGAGCAAGCTTCCTAGAGTCCTTGCCCCGTGGAGTCACATGGACGCGCTTATTTCCTTGAGCAAGTGTGGCAACACGTGTGAAACGCTGTCTACCGGGAGCCATTAGAGACTCTGCACCCTGAGTTCTTATTGGGGGCCGGTCCCTCTGGCCTCCTCTAGCATGTTCTCAAACTCTAGACTCTCAGAAGGAAAGCTGGGGTTCAGGATAAACCACGCGGTCTGTACCAACAGTGTAGGCACAGTGAGCCCCACTCTTAACCAGTTCTGGGAATGGTGGGAACCCCCTGACATCCAAGTTCCCAGTCACCTCGCAAGCTGGCCTTTTTGGAAACAGACGCAGGCCTGCTGTGTTAACTTTAGTGCACAGGTATCCTTTCCACTCACCAGTGTTCTTAAAAAGGAGCGATTTCCTTTTCTTTCTTTCTGTGAGGGTGGATCCCTGATAAACCAGACTTAATCACTTGGGGTTAAATGAGAGAACGTGTCCGGGCACTTAGCATAGCCTTTGTCATAGAGGAAGTGTTTGATAGCTATTGTTCTTCTTATTGGCTGCTTCCTGGTCATTTATGAGGCCAGTGAGAGCTGGTAAGGGGCTCCAATGGACTTTTCAGCCTTCCCCTCCCCCCCTGTCATTCCCAGGCGGCCCCTACCAGGTCGAAGCCAACATCTCCAGCACCGGCGTGCTCCCCAATGGCACCCTCTACGCCACCAAGGGCTCCCGGGTGGACTTCAGCTGTGCCAGCAGCTCCCGGCCTCCGCCCATGATTGAGTGGTGGTTCCGGGCCCCGGATTCCAAGACCGAGCCCTTTGGGAACAACCTGACGGTCAGCAGCTTCACGCTGCTACAGATGTCGCAGCACCTCCAGGGGAACTACACCTGCCTGGCCAAGAACCTGCTCAGTGGGAGACAGCGCAGCGTGACCACCGAGCTCCTGGTCTACGGTGCGTAAGAGGCACCCTTCCCCATGCCCTCACCCGACCCTTTGCGAGCCGCACGTGGGTGCCTCTGCCTTTTGTCTCCAAAGGCCTGCCCGCTGCGTGTGTCCTAACATGCTTCTGCAGCTCCCTCAGCACTCGTGTACACACCCAGGGCTGCCTGTCAGGGAGGGAGTCACCTCTTCTAGCAGGTTGCTGCTAAGTAAGGCACAGAGTCCCTGAGAGCCACAGAGGGAAGTTCCTGCCTAGCTCATTGCTTTCTTTTTTCTTTTAAATATATTTTATTGATTTTTTTACAGAGAGGAAGAGAGAGGGATAGAGAGTTAGAAACATCAATCAGCTGCCTCCTGCTCACCTCCTACTGGGGATGTGCCCGCAACCCAGGTACATGCCCTTGACCGGAATCAAACGTGGGACCTTTCAGTCCGCAGGCCGATGCTCTATCCACTGAGCCAACCCGGTTAGGGATCTTTTTTCTTTTTAACTGAGATGAAAGTACATAAAATAACATTAACCACTAGAAAATGTACAACTGGCATTTAGCACATGGACAGTGTTGTGCACCCATCACCTCTGTGTAGTTCCAAAACGTGTTCATCCCTACAAATGGAAATCCCGTGTCCACTAAACAGCCACCCCCGTCCCCTCCCCGCAGCCCCTCTCTCTCCCGTCCCATTGATCTGCGTCCTGTGTCTATGCATTTGTCCATTCGGGGCTTTTCCTATAAATGGAATCATACAACGTGTTCCCTGTTGTGACCAGTGTCACTGAGCACCCAGTTTACGAGGTTCGCCCAGGTTGTAGCAGGAGGGAGCACTTCATTCCTGTTTATGGACCGAACACTCCTCCACTGTGTGGATGGACCACCATGTGCAGATTCGTTTCTCGATCCTCGTGCATTGTCTTCCCGAACCCTGGGCCCTCCAGTGCTGTTAGGGACCAGCAGTTCATGAGCCTTTATTTTGGGGGTGAAGAAATTACCACTAAATGCACCCATGGACAGAAACCACTGCAGAGAGGCTTGGTGCACTCACACTCCACGCCAATGAGAGGGAGCACGAGAACAGACCGTCAGTGGGCAGGATAATGACACACGACTAATCCGTGCGTGTTCAGAGCCTTGTACGTCTCTGTTTTCTCTACCCTAAGTCATGTATTGCATAGCAAGTCATACATGCTTGATGTGGGAAACACAGGTGAGTATAGAGAAGAAAATAATCAATTGTACTCTAGGCATCATTTTGGCGTATTTCCAAAGTTATTTACTTATGTGTATTATGTAAAATATATGGTAATACGCCTACATAATATAATATGCATATGTAGTACATGTAAATTATATATAGTTAAAGTTAAAAATTTTGTGCTGTTAGTAATATGTGCACACGGTGAACAGGAAGTCTATGTTGGGGATGGGAGTGAATAAGTCCCACCTGTACCCCCTCTAGGGACCAAAACTGTCTACTAGAACTTTCTGTGATAATGGAAACGCTCTGTACTGTGTAGTCTAATAACCACCTACCACGTGTGGTTACTGAGCACTTGAAATGGGGGTAGTGTGATGGCGGAACTAAATTGGTCGTTTCATTTTGTTCATTTAAACGTATATAGCCACATGCAGTTAGTGAGAAATACAAAGATAAATCAGGCCCACGCCCTCGGAGATGGAATGCCCAGCAGAGGAAACCTGACTGTTTCTCTGCTCCCCTGGCTCCCTTTAGACGCAGCCCAATGCCTGAGCTGGCATCTGTGAGTAAGCCCATGCTCCCCTCTGGTGTTTTGCAGCTCCTCCCCCTTTGTCAGACCTTGAGTGCTGGGCAGAGATGTTGCCAAGATTGTTCATGCTGCAGCTCACCTGCCGCTGGGATGGGGGATACCCACACCCTAACCTCCTGTGGACAGAAGAGCCAGGAGGTGTGGTTGTGGGGACGTCGACGTTGGGAGTGGAGATGCTGAACCGGTCCCAGCTGTCGGATGGCAAGAAGTTCAAGTGCGTTGGGAGCCACATAGCAGGGCCGGCGTCGGGAGCCAGCTGTGTGGTCCAGATCCGTGAGTCTGGCTTGCCTTGTCCTGGGGTTTTGGGTCTACTCGCCTCCTCCTGGGAGAACCATTTGAAAGAAGGTCTAGGAAAGAAATCTGAGGATGTCAGAATGAACCGAATTCCTTCCCTTTCTTCATTTCTTTTGCTTTGGGTTTCCTTCCTTTCAAACCTGGAAGCTTAACCAAGCTTCTCGGTCCTAGTCTGAGCTGTTTTTCACTTGACAAATGTTAATGAAGCACCGCTGTACACGAGGCAGTTTCTAGGTGCTGGAGATGGGCCAATGAACAGACAAACGAGGTTTTTAATTAGTTATCTTCTATTATGTAACAAATTACCCCCAAACTCAGTGGCTTAAAACAACTAATCCCTTATTATCTCGGGATTTCGGTGGGCCAGGAATTCAGAGAGGGCACAGTGGGGATGGTTTGTCTTGGTTTCACCATGCCTGGGTCTCAGCTGCAAGACTCGCTGGGAGGGCTGAAATCATCTGAAGGATCACTTCTGAGGTGCTCACTCTCACACCTGGCAAGTCGCTTCCTCTCCAGGTGGGACTCTTCACAGGGCTGCTTGGGTGTCCTCACAACATGGCGGCCGGCTTCCCCCAGAGCAAGTGATACAAGAGGGAGTAAGCCAGGTAGACGGTATCCTTTTTATGCCCTAGCCTCCAGAGTCACATGGCTTCCCTTGCACCATGTTCTGTTCATTGAAGTGAGTCACTCAGTCTGGCTTCGCTTTCAAGGAGAGTGGGGGAAATTAGGCACTATTTTTTTTTTTTTTAGGCAACACTTTTTGAAGGGAGGAGTGTCAAAGAATTTCCGGACACATTACTATTCCTCTTTTACAGAGCTTAAATTCTGGGTGGAGTGGAGGTGGGAAGAAGACAGAAAATACAATAAGTAAGATAGGTTCAGCTGGTGAGAATAATTATGAGATTAAAATGGTGTTTGTAAGACAGTCTCTTTTAGGGAAGGTGGCAGGGAGGTCTCCTTGGGGCAGTAATACAGGGTTGAGCAAAAGTAGGTTTACAGTTGTGAGTATGGAAACACGGAGTTTATTCTTGTATTATTGTTTATTAATTACTAGAGGCCCGATGCACGAATTCACGCACGGGTGGGGTCCCTCTGCCTGGCCAGCGATTGGAGCCGTTAGGGCAGGCCCGGAGGGTGGAGGGGAGGAGGGACCTTGGGAGGTTGGCTGTGGGAGTACACTGACCACCAGGGGGCAGCTCCTGCATTGAGTGTTCGGTCAACCGGTCTTAATGGTTACTTAGGCTTTTATATAGAGAGATTGTATTATTTTCCATACGAATAACTGTAGACCTACTTTTACCCCACCCTGTACAGTTTTTGAGCTGAGACTTCAAGGACGAGAAGGAGTTGACTGGGTGAAGTTGACTGTGGCTTGAATATCTGTGGCAGAGAGGACAGCAAATGCAAAGGTCTTGAGGTGGAAACATACTTGGCATTTGAGGAACTCAGAGAAGATCAGGATAGCCAGAGCATTGTGCTTGAGGTACCAGTGAGCCTAGGTGGGTGTGGTGGGTTGAATTGTGTCCTCCCGAAAGTTGTGTTCAAGTCCTAACCCAGGTACCTATGGAGTAAGGGTCTTTGCAGATGTTATTATGGTAGGATGAGGTCACAGGTCATACTGGATTAGGATGGGCCCTATTGCAATGGCTGGCATCCTTATAAGAAGAGGGAAATTTGGACATGGACACACAGGGAGAATGCCAGGTGGTGATGGAGGCAGGGGTTAATGATGCATCTACAAGCCAAGGAATGCCAGTGATTGCTGGCAACCACTAGACCAGTGATGGCGAACCTATGACACGTGTGTCAGAGGTGACACGCGAACCCATTTTTTGGTTGATTTTTCTTCGTTAAATGGCATTTAAATATATAAAATAAATATCAAAAATGTAAGTCTTTTGTTTTACTATGGTTGCAAATATCAAAAAATTTCTCTATGTGACATGGCACCAGAGTTAAGTTAGGGTTTTTCAAAATGCTGACACGCCGAGCTCAAAAGGTTCGTCATCACTGCACTAGACACTAAGAAAGAGGCATGAGCCCTGGCTGGTTTGGCTCAGTGGATAAAGCATCGGCCTGCAGACTGAAGGGTCCCAGGTTTGATTCTGGTCAAGGGCATGTTCCTTGGTTGTGGGCACATCCCCAGTGGGGAGTGTATAGGAGGCAGCTGGTCGATGTTTCTCTCTCATCGATGTTTCTAACTGTCTCTCTCCCTTCCTCTCTGTAAAAAATCAAATATATATAAATATTATATATATATATAAAGAAAGAGGCATGGGATGGTGTCTCCTTCGGAGCATTTAGAAGGAATCAAGCCTGCTGATCCTTTTTTTTTTTTTTAAATTAAATCTTTATTGTTCGGATTATTACATTAGTTACTCTTTTTAAGCCTGCTGATCCTTGATTCTGAACTTTTGACTTTCTGAACGGTAGAGACTGCCTGTTGCTTTAAGACACCCAGTGGCTTTGTTATAACAGCTCAGGAAACTAATACCACGGGTACGCTAGGACCAGAGCGTGTTGGGTTTATTGGCCGTGGTGAGATTTTCCTCATGGTTTATCAGGATCATCTTCAGAGGCGCAGCGCTGAGAGCTGACATGCTGAGAAGTGAGCCTGAGCCTGGCCGAACCAGGAGGTGCTGGTTTTCCTAGTCACGTGCCATTCAAACAGGCATTAAACAAACACACCCCAGGGGTCCCCTCTGTGTCAGATACCGACCCTGGCCTTGGGCAATAGGACAGATCAAGGCTTACTCTCTGTGCTAGAACAGGGATTAGCAAACTATGCCCCACGGGCCAAATCGGCCCAAGTGGTTTTTTGCAAACTTTAAAAAATGAGATATCATTCACAAAACATAAACTTTACTCTTTTAAAATGTATTAAGTCAGTGGTTTTAAAAAAATCGTTGATTGATATTTAGAGAGAGGAAGGGAGAGGGAGAGAGAAACATCAATGTGAGAGCGAAACACTGGTTGGCTGCCTTCTGCCTGCCCCTTACCAGGGATGCAGCCTGCAACCTGGACATGTGCCCCGACCAGACATCAAACAGGCAGCCTTTCCATGTCTGACCAGCTGAGCCACCCCGGCCAGGGCTAATGCAGTGTTCGCTTGTTCATTTCGTACGTGCACAATGCTGTCACCACGACCCAATTCCAGAACATTTCCATCCCCCACAAAGGAGCTCTCCATCCAAGGCAGACACTCTCCAGGCCAGTGATGGCGAACCTACGACACGCGTGTCAGAGGTGACACGCGAACTCATTTTTTTGGTTGATTTTTCTTTGTTAAATGGCATTTAAATAGATAAAATAAATATCAAAACTATAAGTCTTTGTTTTACGATGGTTGCAAAAATCAAAAAATTTCTATATGTGACCCGGCACCAGAGTTAAGTTAGGGTTTTTCAAAATGCTGACACGCCGAGCTCCAAAGGTTCGCCATCACTGCTACAGAGACCGTGAGAGTCCTCACTGCCCAGCGTTCCTCCTGCAGGAAGTGCTGCCCGCCTTGTTTAGGCTTTCCCGACTTGCTAACGAAGACGTGGCTTTATGACAGCCGGCATTATTGTTTATCATGCTATTATTTTCCATATGAACAACTGTAGACCCGCGCTTGCCCCACCCTGTAAGTGCTCAGGATTAGCCAGTGTTTCTGGAGAAGGGAGCTGACAGGAAGTTTTCCTAATCCCAGGAGCCTGGAAGCAGGCACAAGGACCTGGAACCTTCTGGACTCTGACATTGTCCCTCATGGCACTCGAGCCCCCTGCTTCTCAAGCCTTGATGTGCACACAGGTCACCCGGGGACCTGGGGACTCTGCACATTCGGACTCTCTGGGTTGGGGGGGGCCCGAGACTCTGCGTTTCTAATCAGTTCCCAGCAAGTGCTGCGGCTGCTGGTCCACAGACCCCACTTTCAGTAGCAAGGGCTTTGGGGGGCAGGGGGGTGTCTGGGTCATCATTTCACTTGGGGGGACTAGTAAGTCGTTGAAAGGTAATGTCAGTGTCCACCTTAGGGATGCAGAGCAGCGTCGCCCCCAAAATCATGAAAAGTAATGCTTTTGGGGAGTCCTGCTGCTCATATCTCTCTTTAAACAGCATGTAGATCCCTAAGCTGAAAAACAAACAAAAAACCCCAACTCAATCCATGAGAAGCTGCAGCACTGGCCAGCCCAGTATATCAAGGAGCCGGTATGTGGTCCATCTCTTGCAGATCTCTGAGGGCTTTGCATCACCCACCCCACCGCCCGACCCCACCCTTGCACACAGCATCCTCTTTAGGCGAAACTCATTGAATTCCTAGATGGATGGGTGACTCAGCTTTTTGAGGGGTGAATGCTGTGTTTGTCAAAAGTGTGTTTATGTACATGATCTTTGGGAGTTTGGAGGGACCAGCCTATTGTTTGTTTTGCTTTTAATAAAGGATGGGGGGGCCATTTCTCAAACTTTGGTTGGGGGCCTGCAAAATACAAACATACTAAGGCTTGACACTGCTGCTGGCTTCATGACCCCAAAGGAACTGTGGGTTCACACAGTCAGGGTAAGGTGTGATTTAGCAACGCAGGGTGTGGGAACCTGACCGTTGATCCAAGAACAGGTGCAACATGTGAGTGTCCTGAGCAAACGTAGGTTTGTGGGAGTCTCTTTGGTTGACCTGAGCTGCAGAGAGAGGCCTGGTCTGTCCCTCCCCTCGCCCCCCACCCCCACCCCCCCGCATGCATTTTTAGAACTGAACCCTGGTAGGCAGAGTAAAGGCCCCCCAGAGAGGGCCAGTTCCTAGTCTGTAGAGCCGATATTAGGTTACCTTCCGTGGCAAAAGGGACTTTGCAGATGTGATTAAGGATCTGAGATGGGGAGAGTGTCCTAGATTTCCGGATGGGCCCAATGTCCTCACGAGAACCCTTACAAACGGGAGGCTGGAGGGTCAACCTCAGTAGAAGGGGATGTGAAAACAGATACAAAAGGTTGGAGGGAAGGGGCCACCAGCCCAGGAATGCAGGTGGCTCAGGAAGCTGGGAAGGCAAGGAAATGGATTCTCGCCTGGAGCCTCCAGAAGGAACCAGCTCTGCCAATACTTTGCTTTTAGCCCAATAATGTCATTTTGGACTTCTGACCTCCGGAACTATAAAGGTACACATTTCTGTTGTTTCAAGCCACTGAGTTTGCTGGAGTTGGTTACAGCAGCAATAGGAAACTAATACAGCTGCCTTATTGTCTCCCTGAACACCCTTGTCAGACTGTCTGCCCTTTTTTAAAAAAAATATCATCAATGTGGTTATTATACATAGAAGCCTACAGCATAGAAGTAAGGAATGTGGTCTACAAAAGCCTGACTGTTTGGCTTCCAGTCTTACACAGGGGAACCAATGCACCCCGGTTTGCCCAAGACTTCCCCTGTTTGCGCATTGAAAACCCCATGGCCCAGGAACCCCTCAGTCTTTGGCAAACCAGGACGGTTTGTCACCCTAAATCTTAGCTGCATCACTTACTTAGTTGTGTGACTTTGAGCAAGTTACTCAACTTTCTCTGTGCCTTAGTCTTCCCATCTGCAAACTGGAACTAATGACAGGGTTGTTATGAGAACTAATTGGGTTAATATGTATAACAGTGCCTCGCCCATAGTCCATGCTCAGTAAATGTTAGCGTTTATTATTATACTAGTGGCCCTGTGCATGGAATCGTGCACATTGAAAGGAAATTAATTAGAATATTTTAGTATCACTATTTGTCCTTTCTCTATAATAGAAGTGTCAGAGATGAAAGAAAATTAGTAAAATGTATATGAAAATAATATATAAATTGATTAATAAACAATAACAATATGATATAACAACAACAAAGACATGATAGAAAAACAACGAAAACATGATAGAAAAACATTGATTAAAAACAATGACTGGTAAATTGATTAAACTTATTCTAATACCTCCCTGTATGCCACATTGAGAGTAAACACACTTGCAGAGTGCTTGACTAATTTCCCTTGTGGTGAAATATTTACAACTTGAACTTAAACGTCACATGCTCTTTGAACTCGAGAGAAAGCAACATATAACTGGCCATGTCCGAAAATGGGTTCAGGTGGGAATATTCCTACTCTGTCTAGAGATTGTCCTCGTGATTTATTAATAGTCATCGCAAATGCTGGCATCACGGGAAACTGTCTTTGAATTAATTCAAATGGGAGGCCAGTGCCAGATGGGGACAAATCAATTCTTGGAATCAGAATAACCTCTCCTCCCTCAGATCCTGTTAATACTTCAGCTTCGATTATGTTAGGTCGCAATCTTTTGACAATAAATCTAGTACCATTACAAAGACCGCACTTACTATTAAGATTTCTCAGTAGCATAATGATTGCACCCACTTTCAATTTTAATTTATGACATGGCATTCCCGAAGGAGTAATACTATTAAGAAATTCGATGGGAGCTTTATATGTATCACACATGCAAGAGTCAATGTTTATTTTTAAACTAGAGGCCCAACGCACAAAATTCATGCAAGGGGTTCCGCCCTCACAGCCCCGGCTTCATCCAGAAGGTTGTCCAGAAGGACATCCAGAAGGTCTTTCGGCTGTCCGGTCTAATTAGCATATTACACTTCTATTATTATAGATTGCCAGTGCACGTCATGTGTACCAGCAGGTCGGACGGTCAGTCACTTAGTCTTTTATATATATAGATAAGACCAGGTGTGGTACAGAAATTCCTGAAGTTGCTTCATTAGGAAGGAGATAATATTCTTGAAAATCTCAGACCACCACTTGAATCTTCTTTTAAAAAAAAAAAATTTAATTGATTTCAGAGAGGAAGAGATAAATAGATACATCAATGATGAGAGAGAGAGAATCATTGATTGGCTCCCTCCTACACAACCCCTACTGGGGATTGAGCCCACAACCTGGGCATATATCCTTGACTGGAATCAAACCTGGGACCCTTCAGTCCGCAGGCCAACACTCTATCCACTGAGCCAAACTGGCTAGGGCCGCTTGAATCTTCTTAAGCATTTGTCTTTCTTTATCTTCTTCTGATCACCAGGGAGCCCCTCCCTTCTCTCGGAGCCCATGAAGACGTGCTTCGTGGGGGGCAATGTGACGTTCACCTGCCTGGTGTCCGGAGCCTACCCCTCTGCCAAGATCCTGTGGCTGAGGAACCTCACCCAGCCCGAGGTGGCCATCCAGCCCAGCAGCCACTATCTCATCACCCAGAAAGGCCAGAGCTCCACCCTGACCATCCACAACTGCTCCCAGGACCTGGATGAGGGCTACTACGTCTGCCGGGCTGAGAACCCTGTGGGGGTGAGGGAAGTAGCAATCTGGCTGAGCGTGAAAGGTGAGTGAGCGGAGAGGCACCAAATGCAGAAGCTTGAGAGCTTCAGCTTGGTGCGTCCCTGCGGGTGGGTCCTGCCGTCTGGGAGAAGGCAGATCTGCTTGCTTGCGGCTTGACAAGATGGATGGGTAAAGTGAGTGTCCAATCCTAAATCTCTATTTGCATAGAGATAAGAGTGCTTAGTATCTGTTATATACCAAAGATTATCGATCTGTATGTGAAATATATATACATATGAAATACATAAAAATAAAAAATACAATGTAAGTTGTGAAGCATCATAGCAAAATAAACACCATCCCACCCAAGAAACTGGTCCAACATTGCTGCAGTTACCGGTAGGCATTGTGCCAGATTCAGAAAACAACATCAAAACTAATAAGATGGGATACACACTTGAATTTGCATTTCAGAGAAACAAAGAATAATTTTAAGTGTTGTAAGTATATCCCAAATGTTGCACGAGGCATACTTATTCTAACGCATTATTTGTTGTTTATCGAAATCCAGATTTAACTGGGTATCCTGTATTTCATCTTGCAGCCACACCTGTAGGCCCTGTTTTAATCTGGTCCTGGCCTCCTAAAAAAAAGTAACCGCTATCCTGAATTCCATGTCTTATTTTAGAAAAAATGTTGTTATGTATGTACACACTTCTAAATAATACTGCTGTTTGTTTTGGTTTTGAGTTTTAAGAAATGCTGGTTACCATACAAATATAGTCTTTTGTGACTTCTTTTCTTCACTCCCCATTTTGTTCCTTGGATTTATTTATGCCAGTGTGTCTCTTCATCGCTGTATAACTCTCCATTGTGTCATTATTACACAACTATGTGACTGATTTTCCTGTTGATGGACGTTTGTGTTGTTTGTGATTTTTTCGTTTTGTTTTGTTTTGATGAACAAACAGTGTTGCTATGAAAATGTTTTACCCAATCCTGTGTGTACATATACACTGGGTCCCCCTGGCAAATATTTCTCTAGGCGATGTGTCAGGAGTAGAAATGAAGGGTAACAGGGTATGTGCATTTTTATCTTTTGGGGGTAACCAAATTATCTTACAAAGTGATTATATCAGTTTCCATTTGTAACAGTGTTTTATGAGCATCATTGTTCCACATTTTCACCAGGGCGCCTTTATGATTTTTGCCCATCAGGTAGGTGCAACATGGAACCTCACTGTGGTTCTAATTTGAATTTCTCTGATTACTCAGAAGGTCGAACATTATTTCATGTATTTGCTGCTTATATTTCTTCTGTGAAATTCATACATATTTGTATCTTTGGCTATATCTCGCCCTTCCTTATAGATATGTAGGCAGTCTTTAGAAATTCTGCATGCCAATTCCTTGTTTGTTTTATGTTAGCGGTATCTTCTTTCAGTTCCTTGTTGGTCTTTCTCACTTTCTTTATGGCATCCTCTGATTAGCAAACATTCTTTCTTACTTTAATGTAGATGGCTATATGAATTTATTTTTATATCATTAACAATTTCTATCTTAAAAATCCTTAACTGTCCAACAATCACAATGATAGTAAATGTTTTAATGTTTTGCCTTCCACAATTAAATCTTTAATCCATCTAGGGTTGATTTTTGTGAATGGTGTGAGGTCAGGATCAAGTTTTTCTACCCCTAACCCCTAATTTATTCCAGCACCCATTTCTCAAATAGTTCCTCTTTTTACTCACCAATCTGTCATATACATATCAGCTTTCCTTTTATGCATGGGCCTGTGAAGTTTCCTTTTATGTGTGGGCCTGTTATTGGATTCTCTATTCTGTCCCACTGATCACTGTTTATTGTGGCACCAGTAACTCGCACTCTTAATGACCGTGGCCTTCTAGACAGTCTTGATGTGTGGTAGACACACAGAGATGTTAACTTGCCAACATTCCCGTATATCACATGCTCCACCTGGTTCCCACACGGGCTGAGGTAGGGAGATGCGATATTGATCCTGCTTTACAGAGAGGTCATATGCCTGGCCCAACACCATGAAACCAAGATAAGACTAGAGCCAGACAGAGGAGGGGAGCATACCTGTGCTGGCTGCAGGCGTGCCCGGGGGAAGAGTCAACAGTGTGATTTGTCTTTGCAGAACCTTTAAACATCGTGGGAATTGTGGGAACCATCGTGAGCCTCCTCCTGCTGGGACTGGCCATTATCTCGGGGCTCATGCTGTATTACAGCCCTGTGTTCTGCTGGAAATGTAAGCTCTTCTCGGGTCCTGTTGCTTCTCTTTCGGGCTTTTTGCAAGGGTGTGGCTCGGGAGGATGGAGGGAGGCCCCTGTCGGGCTCCCACCGGAAGTCCCACCCCATAGGCTTCTGCATTGGGCCCAGATGTTCAATCAGCACCATTCCAGAACACCCTGTCACCTCCCCCGCTGGGCCGGTGTTCCGGTCGTCCTTCCTTTTGTAGATATTAGAGTGATTAAAAACGTTTGGGAGGCTGAAGCGGCTGTTATTTGATATTAATTGTTTTTCCTTTCTCCCTTTAGTAGGAAACACTATCAGGTGAGTGTTCCCTAGACCCATGTCGGACACCCGTTTCCATGATCTGCCTGCACCGCTGTTCTGCTTCCTTCCCTAAGACCACGAATAGGTACTCCCATCGAGGACCACCCATGGCCAGCACTGGCTGGGGGCTTCCCTGGGCATTAGTCATAAACGCTTCCATAAACCCTTCGGGCGCCGGCGGCACCTCCACTTTCCAGACAGGGAGACAGAGGGTCCGAGGAGGAGTTGCTGCCGCCTCACCCCGGAAGTAACGGCAGTGCTCGCGTTCAGACCTGGGTCTGACTGTTCCAAAGTCTGTTCCTTTTACAACGCTAGACCTCGGGGTGGGGCAGGCACGTTGCTGGGCTGTTGTTGAGGCATAAAGACAGTGTGTTCCTGTCGGGCCCAGTTATTCATGCATTTATCTCACCTAGTTTTCTAAGAGGATGAATAAGCCACAGTCCTCCAGCTGCTTGGGAAAGCTAGTCTGAGCGCGCCTAGGAGCCCCTCCCACGAGGGCACCTCAGGAGGGACAAAGCACTAAGTGGACCGTGTGCCCTTTGTTCCCTGAGGAGGTTTTGGGCGGGAGCAAAGGACTCTTCGTTTCTCTTCACCCATTGATAGCCATGGAGGTTACTGCTCTCAGACCACCATTCACAGTGAGGGGATATTATTGCCTTGGGACCCTTTTTATTCGTGGGGACAATGTTACCTTTGCTGCCTGTGTTTGGGGACCCTTCTCCCAGTGAGTCTGTCCTTCCCCAGGCTTCTTTCTCACAGGAGGGAGCAGTGAGGCACAGTGGGAAAAGGCTTTGGAATCAGCTGACCTAGGTTCACATCGCAACTCTGCCTTCCCAAGCCCGGTGCTCAGGGAAACCCCCTGACCTTCTCTGAGCCGCTGTGGCCTCCGTGTCCCAGAGGGAGACGGTGAGGATTAAATGAGGGTGTGATGCTCCCAGGACTGTCCCTGGCCTGTGGCACGTGCTCTTCTTTCTGAAAGAAATGTCCAGTCTGACTGGGGAGGCAAAACCAGCAATAAACCAAGAGCGATTGCATGCTCCACCGCTGGGCACGGACTCCAGATGCAATGGAAGTTCAGGACCGGACTTCAGAGGGAAGGGGAGGACTTTACCTGGGCCCTAAATAATGAGGAGACATTTTAGTTAGTGCAGCAGAGATGAGGGCATTGCAGGAAAGGAACGGAGCTTTTGAGTGTGTACTGAGTGGGGGGCCAGGGGGAGGCGGAGAGTAAGATGTTAGGAGCCTGGGACAATGAGGCCACCTTGCCCAGAAGCAGGGGATGAATGACAAAACTCGCCCCGAACAAGATAAGGTTATCTGTACCCATCTGTGGCTGTATCTCTCGGAGAGGTACAGCCACACTGTCCCCTCCTGACGTAACAGAGTTGAATGCCAGAAGAATTTTCCATGTTCCCAAGGGGGGTGCAAAGAATCCAGTGTGTCTCCTCTTCAGCGAGGGCTGACGTTGGAAAACACAGGCTGTCTTCCTGACTCTCTCCCTTTGGCAACTAGGGGACAAGACATGGGTGACATCATGGTTCTGGTGGATGAGGAAGAAGAGGTGGAGGAGGAAGACAATGCTGCAGAAGAAGAGGAGGAGGAGGAGGAGGAGGAAGACGAGGAAGCCAATGAGAGGGAGGAGTTCCCAATAGAAATACACAAGCACAGCCACATCCACAGGGTGACGGCCCTGGTGAACGGCAACATAGACTGGATGGCCAATGGGCTCCCATCTCTGCAAGGTGAGCTGTTTGCTTCGCAGCATTCCTGCTAAGCTGTGGGGAGGAAGCCTCTACTAGGTTTTTCGAAGGCTGGAGAAGACGGTTAAAGTTTAATCTGGAACCTGAGAATCCATTATCAACGACCAATGCACCAATTAAACTGATAAACGTCTCCCGGCGGCCTGCTCTGGGAGAGGCACGGCATTGGCGCTGTAGGATAGAAGAGAAAGGCACTGCTCTCTGCAGGCAGGGAGCTTTGTGAGGCCAGTTCAGAGCGAACAGATTAAAACGTGGGGACCATGAAAATAGGCAAGACTTACCCAACGCTCTGGGGGAGCAGAGGGGCGCTGCCGCAAGGAGGAATTGGGCTGACTGCCCGATGAACGACTTGCTGACCAATCACAGGACCTCAGGAGAGAGATGAGAGCTTGGAGGGCTCCTGGGTCGGGAGGAGCTTAATGGGAGAAGTGGGCTCTGAGGCAAGTCTCAGGATAGTCCAGTTTGAATGAGCTGGAAGGAGAGAGGGCGTCCCAGGTGAGGGGGGTCCGTGAGCCACAGGGAGGAAGGATGGACAGTGTCCAGCACGTCTAGAGGCTTTTGAGCGGGAAGGACAGGTGGACAGGGAACACACAGCCTGCCTCACCTGCTCCTGCAGGACATCCGGTTCCGAGGCTCACAGGAAAGGACCAGAGATCAAGATGAGGGAAGGCTGATGGGAGCAGGTCACCTCTGTTGTGATCACCCCGAACCTGGTGTCCTTTTCCCCGCAGACGACAGCAGTGAGCAGCAGAGTGAGCTGGTCCCCGAGGAAGACAGGCCAGTGTGAAGAAGAGAGCTGTCCTGCGTGATCTGCCTGAAGCGCGGGGGAGCCTCATGGAAGATGAGCTTTTCCTTTTGCTTTGACTTGACTTGCACCCCTGCCCAAGGGCTTAAAGGGGGCGCGCGCGCACACACACACACACACACACACACACACACACACACACACACATCTTTCCGTCCATTTTTTTAAAAAGCTGGTTTGATTTGCTGTAACTTTTCCTAATGATGCTAAAAAGCGTTGGGAACAGGCAGTGTGTTGGGGGGAAGCTGCCTTTGGCATCTGAGGTGCCCTTTCCGCTGTGACTTCTGGCTTTATCCAGGTCGGCTGATTTGGGGGGAGCAGGAGTGGGAGGAGGCCCTTGGCCGCAGTGCCCTTTGCCACCCGTGAAGTCTGTAACCAGCTTCCCTCAGCACACAAGGGCATGGCGAGGGGGGACAGGGACACTTCCTTGATGACTGCCCAGTTGAGCCAAGGAACCAGGTCAAGGTCAGCTCACTGGAAAAGGTGAGGAGGTGTCGGCGACTGATGCTGGTCAGAGGGAGGCAGTGTGGGCCAGGCTTTTGGAGTTGGAAACACCCAGGATTGAGTCTGGGCACTTGTTTCATGGGCTTGGGCAGGTTGCTTTCCCTCTCCCCTGGGCCTCAATGTCCTCATCTATAAAACGGGTGTAATCACACCTATCTGACAGGGGTATGTGAGGACTCGGGGATGTGAACGTGCCTAAGAGGTGCTCAAGAGATGTTTGTTCTCTTCTCCCTTGCCTTCCCTGGTGGAAGGAAAACATGACTGTAAGTTGCGAGCTCCTGCCTGGACCCGCCATGCTTCTTTGTGGAGGGGTTCCAGGCGAGGGCTTTCTCAGAGCTCTCCTGACGATGTTTGCTTCCCCGGAAATAGAATTATTTTCAAAAGAGTTAGGGCCCCTAAGAGAAAGTGCCTTTCATTAGAACCTCACATTTTGCAAAGCTTCGTGTTTATACAAGAGCCTCTGACATGACGCTGTTAGCTTTCGGCCTTTCCCCTGGGACGTGTGAGAAGGCAGGAGAAGTGCTTTGTGAGGGAGTACCTGGTGGGAGGTACTCCTTGGGCAGACCAGCCCATCCGGCCGGGGATGGAGAGCTTGTTTCCGTCTTCTCTTTAACGATGTTATGAAGATACACTGACCAACGATGCTAAGTTTCTAATGAAACTATCGTATGATGGGTTTGAGCTGTTGATGCCTTCAGTAGAACCTGTATAGTTTAGAGATATCCCCCGCCTCCCCCCGTCCCCTGATTTCACTCAAATCTCTTTTCAATGTCAGGGGCCTTATAAAGGTGCAAAGGGTGTGTGCTAAGTGTGAAAATCTGACTTGAATTTGCATTCTTTAATGTTGCACATTCTGCTCTGATGGGCAAGACCTAGAGCTGAAAGGAGAACTTCCCTTCTGCAGTAACGGACTGGGACTGGTAAAATGACATACCGGTTAGCTGCAGGTGTGCTGGGGGTTGGTCTATTTTCCTGAAGGGACTAAACTAAGCAAGTCCCTAGAAGGGAGCCCCGTCCCGAGCTCAGAACACGGGAGCCCAGGAGCTGGCTGCACATGTGCCCCCCTCAGGAAGAGCCGTGACCTCTGCAGTCGCGTTGGGCTGGGTCCTTTGCTGGTGGCACCTCGTGTATGTCACCACCCTACCCAGTCCAAGTCGGTGTCATTTACAGAGCAGGATACCAGACAGGTTGCTTCTGCAGTTACTGAACACGGAGCTAGACTCTTCAGAATCTTCGATGAATCCCATTTCTGACTCTAAGTGTCTACTATGCAGAGGCAACAATACTTTTTAAAAAGAAAAGCAACTGCAGGAAAAATTCCCTAGCTGGGAACACGGGGTGATTTTCAAGATCACTGAGGTGTTTCTGCAAGTTCCTCTTCTCTTGCACACGTACCTGGTAGGTAGCAAATCTTCGAGGCAGAGTTTTTCCACTAGCAAATGGGAGCTTCAAGATCTTGGTGCCAAACACTAGAAACCCTTGACTAACTGAGCTGTGACTGCTCACTTCTAGCTGAGCCCTGTGTGCACATTAATATGGCTGGGTCAGTTAAGAACCCAGGTCCTGGGGGATTGTCAAGTTTTAAGTATTTTTAAAGAATTGGGGCTTTTTTTTTTTCTTTTAAGATGACCCATCCCCAATTGAGCAGGTCACTAGAAGTGAGTGGCCCATCGGCAAGCCTGTTGACAATGGTTACAGACTCTGTGTGGCAGAGTCCGTGTGGTCACATCACCCTGTACGTGCATTCTTATCTGCATGTGTTGTAAACTCAGACACCAGATCTTATCAGAACCAGGAAGATAAACATTTCAGGGCTATCACAACTGACACTTCTTTTTCTCAGAACCTGGTGGACATTGGGGAACGGGCTCCTGCAATGTTGTGGCTTTGATATTAGCTCCAGTTCTCACAAGCACATACAGGCCCTATTCCTGCAGCAGGAAAGCACATGATGGAAATTTTCCACAGCCCATGCACTGACACCTGGGAAAGCCTCCTTGCTGGGTAACAGTTATGATGATGCAATAAGTGCCAACTGGTATTTCTCACCATGGGGCTGGCCGGGATCTGCTGCAAAGAAAAATAAGCAGATCTTCTGCATTATTTACATTTTAATATTTGATGCGGGGAGGTGGGTTGGGAGAAATTCATTCTGAGATTATAATGGATTTTTTTTTAAAGATTATGGAATAAAGTTATTTTTAAATAAAAGCTTCAGTGTACTTGATTGAGACTTGTTTGTAAACTGAAAGATTTGGGGAGATGGGTTTACCTCCCCCAGTGTTTTACAAGCTTTCCCACTGCAGGTGACAATATTGTCCTGTGGCCATTTTATTCTTTTCCGTGGCTTGTAGGTACTACCCACCCTCTCAACCTACCGAGAAAATCTCCCTGAGAAATGTGTTCTTCCATCCTCTCCGTCCTGCATGTGCCCCTTTTTGCTCAGGCTGTAGGTTTTCTAAAGGGCTGGACGTCCACATGGAGAGCGCAGAACCGAGGGACCCCCGACAACACAATTCCTATGGGCCTTCCGGTCCGTCGGTCCGCTGGCTGTTGATGGCTTTGGAGCTTGTCCTGGGCTCCGCTGCTGCAGTCCCCGATGGCTCACCCACCTCCCACTGGAGGTTGCCCAGCTCCTTCCCCTTACCCTGTCCTAGGCCTTTCCTCGTAGGTCACCCCACACCCCCCTTCTTCACTTCACTGCAAGCTCCCTGGCTCCTGAGCAAAGCTGCCCCATTCCAAACGCACTTCCTACCCAACCCAGGTTTCCTACCGTAGCCGCCTCCCACGAGTCTGTTCCCACCCGTGCCTCCCTGTGGACGTGGATGAGTGTCTACTACGCCAAGCCCCTCTTCTGAGCCCCATGGGCTCTGCCTGTTCTCCCTTGCGGGGGGCGGGGCGCACCCCGGGGCCCCCCCCCCCACGCCCCCGCAGCTTCTCCATCGTGGCCCCCGCATGTCCGTGCCCGGTTTTCTCAGGCCAGCGGCCCCCTCCGCACCGCCCACGTTAGCCTCGGTCCCTCCATTCGCCACGGGGCTCTTTTCCTGGTTCCCAGTTTTTAGACATTGTATTTATTTGTTTACTTTTAGTCTTTATTGAAAGTATCACACAGGCCCTCTTCCCGATTGGCCTCTCCCAGCCCGCACCCCCTTTCCCCGCTCTCCCCACCCCCCCCTCACCACCCACGGTCCCGGGTTATGCAGACAAGTTCACCGGTTGGTCTGGTTCCCTTTTTTTTTTTTTTTAAATATATTTTATTGATTTTTTACAGACAGGAGGGGAGAGGGATAGAGAGTTAGAAACATCGATGAGAGAGAAACGTCAATCAGTTGCCTCCTGCACATCTCCCACTGGGGTTGTGCCCGCAACCCAGGTACATGCCCTTGACCGGAATCGAACCTGGGACCCTTCAGTCCGCAGGCCGACGCTCTATCCACTGAGCCAAACCGGTTTCGGCTGGTTCCCATTTTATTTAAAAAAACCGCCCGGCTCACCCCTTCTCCGCCCGGCTCACCCCTCCTCCGACCCCCGCGCCCCCAGCCGCAGTGGCCGCCCCTCCCCCTGGGCCCCTCCCCCTGGGCTCCCCCGCCTCTGCGGGCTCCTCGGCTTCTCCAGCCTCAGGGCAGTCCCTTCTCCCGCGGGGTCCCCCTGCCGGCCCCCCTTCTCTCCTCAGGCCGCGCTTCGGTCTCCCCAATCCCTGGTCCCCGGTGGCTTGGGTCCTTTTCTAATCAGTTTCCTTCCTACTCCCCCCCCTCCCCCGGTTTCCCCAGCCCCAGCTCCCCGAGTTTTCTCCTCAGTGTCCCCTCGCTCATCCTGCTCCCTGCCGCACCCCACTTTTTTAACCCAGGTCTTCTTACCCACCCCCCGCCCCCCGCATTATTGCCCAGGCCTCGCGCTCGGTCTCCCCACCCGGCTCCCCTCGACTCCGTCCCTTCCCCCTCGGCTTCAGCCTCCCCCCATGTTCCGCTCCCCCTCATTGTCACCGGTTGGTGGTCACCTGAGCCTCCTCCCGTTTCCCTCAGCCCCACTCCCGCCCCCCGATTCCTTCGCTCCCCTCCACCCCCTACTCCTGCAGCGCCACTGCCCTCCGTTCTCCCCGAGCCTGATTCTACCCCCCGCATTCCCCTCAGCCTCCCCATTTGTCCCGCCCACGCCCCGCCCCCCGCGCCGGCCCCGCCCCCGCGTTCCCCTCAGCCCCCCCATTTGTCCCGCCCGCGCCCCACGCCCACCCCCTGCAGACCCCGCCCCCAGCTCCGGCCCCGCCCCTCAGACCCCGCCCCGGCCCCGCAGGCCCCGCCCCCAGCGCCGGCCCCGCCCTCCCGCCCGGCGCCACGTGACGGGAAGCAGCTGATGGGCTCTCCGGGCGGCGGCGGGCTCGGCGGGGCCGGGGCGGGAGCGGGGGCCGGAGGAGCCGGGGCGGGGGCCGGGGCGGGGGCCGGGGCGGGGGCGGCGGCATGAGGGCCGGCGGCCCGGGGGGCTGAGGCGCCGCCTGCCGCGGCCGCGCGTCCTCCATGGAGGCCGGAGGTGAGTGGGGCCCCTGGGGCGCCGGGCTGGGGCGGGGGCGGGCGCGGCCCGGAGGGGACGCGGGGGCGCCGCCGGGGCCGTGCGCGGGCTGCGGGGGCGCGGGGCGCGGGGGGCGGCGGCGCCCAGCTTTGTTTCACTTTCGCTGTCAGCGCCGCCGCCGCGTCCCCCGCCGCCGGCAGGACCGGAGGACGGGCCTCGCGCGGCGCGGACCCCCAGCCCGGGGAGTAGGGGTCCCGGGTGGGACGCGGGGTGATGCCCGAGGGGGTGGGTGCCGGGTGCCGGGTGCCGCACGCGCAGGTCGGGAGGGGGAGTCGCGCTGCTCCTGACGAACGCTGCGGTCGGGGGCCCCCCGGCCCCCCAAGTGTCAGTTTTACATTCACAAAACGGATAGAAAAATTCCTGCCTCCGTAGGCGCTTCCCAAACTTGCCTCCTCTTGAAAATGGGATCTGGGGCCCTTATTTAAAAAACAAAAGTAAATGTACATAAATATATGTAACACACATAAAACACATATGTAACATTTATATCCCCAGCCTTTCCCAGTGCAGAGGGATTCGCAGGGCGGGGCGGGGCCGGGGTGCGGGGCCCCGGCGTGTGTGCGGCGGGTTGAGTTTCGGGGGGCCCTTGCCGGCGGCTGTCACCGAGGCCAGTGTGGACTCGGGGTGTAGTGGCCGCCCCCGAGCCGCCCGCGAGCTGTCACCTCCGTGGGGAGGAGAGTGCCCTTGTGCAAAGGCAAAACCTCAGGACGTGCCCCTTGTCCTCCCAAACACCTTGCCCCGAAAACCCACCCGTGTAGAAGCGGGGTGTGTGTGCGGGGGGTTTATGGTGGGAGACCTCACTCTCTCGTGAACCCCCTGCTGACGGCAGCTCCCAGAGCAGCCATGCTAAGCCGGGGTCAAGGCCTGGGGCCCGGCACGTGTTCCAGAAGCTCCCTGTGCTCCCCTCCCGGAGTCCAGCTTCCTCCGCCCTGGATTGTGGACGCCGGTCCCCGCTTGTCTGGCGGGGCAGGGCTGCGGGTGGGAGGTTGAAGTCCCAGGCTGTTCCCGGGGGTGGTGTAACTTTTTAATTCGGGAAGTGACAGTTCTTTGTTTGCTGGAGCCAGGCGTTCAGTGGAAGGTGTAGAGGCACCTCCGGGCCTTCCCATCTAGATCAGGGCTTTCTTTTCAGTGCCTGTTCCGCACAGGACTCTCTCTAAATGGCCCCGACTGAATCGTCTGTGAGTCTTTTTATAGCTTCCGCTGTCATTTTCATTGACCCCTTAATCGTTAAATCTGAAAGCGATCTGTAGCGAGCTTCTCTTTTTAGCACGAATCTTGTTTCCAGTTCAGGGTTTTTTCCTAGTGACGAACCACTGTGTTTCGGGGTGTGGGCAGAGCTGTTGAGAGCTGCCAAGCTACTGTGAAAGAAAAATAGCCTGAGCGTTTTACATTCTTTTAAACTGAACCAAGCCTATTGTCACGGGGTCACAATGGACAAGAGTGGGTATCTTCAGAGCAGTGGTTGGAGTTCGTTTATTCATTCAGCAAGTATTTGTGGAGTAGCTGCTGTGTGCTAGCACTGGCCAGTAGAAATGAAACGTGAGCCACATACGTAATTTAAAATGTTCCGGTAGCTGCATAAGAAAAGTGAAACAGGTGAAATTAATTTTAAAACTATATCTTTGTCAGTCCAACATGTCGAAAACATCATTTCGATATGTACTCATGATTACTAATATATTTTAGGCCTTCTTTTGGTATTAAGTCTGCAAGATGAGATGTATATTATATGCATAATCTTAATTTGGACTCACCACATTTTCATTGGTCAGTAGCCACGTGTGGCTAGTGGTTACTGTATTGGACAGCACAGCCCAATAGCCATGAACAGATAAGTTTGGGCTGGGGATGGGGAAGAGATGGACAATAAATACATAAAAATGACAAGTGCCATCAAGAAAAGATAGATGAGTGATAGTTATAAAGAAAATGTAATGGAGTGAGAGGAAAGTGACTGGGCCACTTTATTTATTTGTTTATTTTTTAAAATATATTTTTATTGATTTTGGAGAGGAAGGGAAAGAGGGAGAGGGAGAGAGAGAGAGAAAGAGAAACATCAAT